ATTGGCGTGAGAAAATGGACTTTATGTTTTAACGACAAAAAGAAAGGGTCGTTGTATAAGAAAACTTTTTTCCTTAAGTTGTACTCAAGAGCATTAACGGGTTTAAACATATACAGTATTTTATATTATTTGTAGTGAATCAACGTAGTATACTGTGTAGGCTGGTTCCTATTATATTATATTATAGTTTTTACATYTAGATGCTAAATATTCAGCACTTTTTAGTATACTTTTAGAGTCATGACTATTTAATTTTATAAAGATTAATAGCTTTTTTAGAAGTTGCAATATTTATAAATTTGTATTTTTATATGACTTAGTATGGTTTTGTTTTATAGTTTCTTTTATAAAATATATTTCACGTATTATTTTTATGGAAGTAAACATAAAATAGTTAGTTAATTCATAGTTAACAATATTCATCCATATAATTATAATAGTCAAATAATTTTTTATATAAAACATTCTATAAGTTGAAAAAATAAATATATATCTAACATTAGACGTCGTAGTCAATAGGTTATGTTAATTAGTAGACGTATATAAAAATAAAGGCTTCAGTGAATCAAGTTTCCACGATGACTTACCATAAGTTAATAATGTCTTAATTTAACATTATAAGTTAGCCTTATATTATATTCAAATTATTGAAATACACACCTAAAAACTTAAATTACAATACTACATAAGTCGTTTTCGTTTTAATAATTTAATTTTTAGCATCGTTATTTTGAAACGCGAATAGGCGATGGACGAGAATGAGAAAGGAAGGAATCGAAAGGAATCATTTTTTCTTTCTTTTATAATATCGTACTCACTGATGACGACTAATAATTGTCAATGACATAATATTGCAACGTGTTTCGTTGTATGCTTTTCGTGTAATTTCACAAATTTTGTTAAATTCACCCAGTTATTTTTAATTTTACACATCTTTAAAAGTTTTGACAGCTTGCGAGGGCAATGATAGATTGCCGTGCCCGTCCGCGACGGAGAGCGCATTTCGGAAATTTCCGCATGGGTACAGATTTGTGGTCGGCGGGGATATAATGTTATTATATATTACTCGGAAATCGATTAAAACACGTACATAATGCGTTATATACCTTATRCAGTTTTACGTTGCGACGAAGCATCACGCTATTTTATACATAGGCACATATTACTGTCCATGACTGTAATATTATTATTATTATACCTACTACAGCTGCAGAAATTGGTCCCTGTTTACGAATTTAATGTTTTAGTTAAGGACGACGTGTTGTAGATGAAGGGTCTACACTATACACATCATCAACAATAATAATAGTAATAGTACCTAGTAGGTAATAACATTATCGAGTCAGGCCGCGTTTAGTCGTTTTGTGCGAACAGCACGTGGGTACCGAAACAAAATTTTGCGATACGTTTCTCCACGTGTTAACGATATATTACATTTTTACACTTAAGTGAACCTTAAAACTTCGATATAATATTGTTACAACTRTTGTAGCTGTAACTTGACGCATACACGCTAAATACTATTGCCGTTTTAATATGATAGCAGACAACGAAGTCCCTCCGTAAAGAGAAGTCTTTACTTATACTCGTATACCTTCAAATATCAGTGGYGTGCCTAGGATTTTTCAATGGGAGAAGAGGACTAAACAAAGTAAATCGGAATTTTTATCCCTTACCTAACATCATGTTGTTATTACTATATCCTGTTTACCCTAATAACCTCTAAAAATAATTGGAATATGTATAATGTTTCTTCAAAACCATTTTCAGAAATATCTTGACATGCAATTCCATGTACTTTGCCTTGTCTCTAATCAGATACAATGTATACTATGGTACGTCCAAAGTAAAGGGCAGACGTCACATAGCCCTCTTGGATACGTCACTGCACATGCATGCATACATGTATACCTCATACTAGCATACTATATACATATATCAGATCCAGCGTGAGAATTGTGCAGAAARTGTGAACTCACAGTGACTCACGTTTTTTAATCGGGCTTGGAGGTAGAGGCAGTTAGAACTATTCTAGTATTATATCTATGGACATAGAAAAAGAAATGATCCAAAATTCATAAAATTGATAAGATAATGGACGGTTTTGTCTAATGTATATTGTGAAAAAAATTTGTTAAAATAGAAGAACTAATAGCTACTATGATAATTGTTATGTTAAAAAAATGAGCATAGACTCATTGAGAGTCCCAACATTTTATAATGCAGAAGGACTCTCAGAGTTCAAGATTCAGCACTGGGATCTTCAAAAATAATATGTCAGGGTGACAAAATGTTGGATACTAGTATCTAAGAGTGACATGAAACAAATCAAATTTAAAACCACTGCAACTAAGTTAACGTTCATATCAACTAGTATTATTTAGGTAATTCGTTATTGGTTTTATAYCAATAAAAAAAAACCAAAATTACATGCATTTTAGTATTTTAATCGATAATTCTTTTAATATAGGAGGCTCCAATTTTCTCTCTCCAAGACTCCAAAASAAAAAAAAAACTCGTACCCGCGATTTGTCTGGCACTAGATAGGCCACCATAGAGAAGCGCATCGCAAATTATAGTACTATAACTGCATATATATATAAACAAAAGTATATATATATATATATATATATATACATAAGTATATACATACATACATATGACGTAGGTGATAAAATAGACTTAATAGAGTTTTCCTAATGCAAAAGATACGCAGTTTTCCCGGGAGTCCAAAGGTCAACATTGACTTTGTATTACATATATGTATAGAGAAAGAGAGAGAGAGAGAGTCAGAAAGAGAGAAAGAGAGACAGAGTGACACAAAAAGGAAAAGTGGCAGCGGTGACAATACGCGCGTACTTAAAATCGTTTGTGTGTGTGTGTGTGTGTGTGTGTGCACGCGAATGACCGTAGTTTTATTAGTGTGCAGCTATAAAACCTTGCAGCGTTTCGTCGCCGCTGTTTTCGGAGTCCCACGTGTATTTTTACTTAAATAAAAGTGTCTCTTTTGTGATCGTGGCCTTTTGTTTTCGCCACAGCGTATATTATGTGTAGGTACCTATTACCATTACAACTGTACA